GTGTTTGATTATGAGTTCATAACAATATTTCAAATAAGTGGATTTGAATTTCAAAAATTAAATTTAGTTCAAGGCAAATAAAATAATATATTTTTATATTTAAAAGTTACACATATTATAACTACTCCTTTAGTTTATAATTTATTAAAATATCAGATTCGAACTTGATTTCCAAAGCACATAATTACGAGGAATGCATTCCAAAGCATAGAATTGTAAAAAACATGTCCAAATTAATCCTACATACAAACACACAATATATATATATATATATATATATATGATGATGATGATGATGATGATCCTACTTGGGCTAGTGTCAGGGAAATTTTGAATTTGAACTATCAATAAAAAATTCCAAATAAAAATACAAAACATAACCAATTAAAAATAGGTGTAAGCACAATGAGTGATATTATTATATACGTAAATTAAAAGTCAAGCAATAAATTTCTTTATTTGTTGCAACATATTACCATAACATCTTATAAAAGACTTTCATACAACTATCAAAATTCAATCACCTTATAAAAGGGGAGCATAAGCATAAATAAGTAAATAATATAGGAGCATTGTTGCCTTGAAACTCTCCAAAATGGTGCAATATTGCCCTATCGTCAGAGTTGATTGTTTTGTCTAACTTGACTTGCCACGTAGTATTTTTTAAAAATAAAAAAATCATAAAGGGCAAATTTACCTTAGATAAGATTGTCAACAAACAGACAGCTCTGATGGCAGGATAGCATTGCACTGTTTTGGAGAGTTCCGAGGCAACATTACTCTCAAAAAAAGTTAAAGATACCAAGCACCCTTAGAGAAAAAGTTTGAGGATAAATTTGCACATTTACCTAATAATATATGCAAATGAAATTGGCATTGCAAAAAGAAAAAAGAAGGCATTGCTTTATGTAATATCATAGTCATAGACTTACTCAATATCTTGAAGTATCAACAGAATACTATTTGATTCATTTGATAAGTTTCGACCAAGCATTATCTAAAATGGATTACCCTCAAAACATGATTTGCCGCTTTTGACTCAATATGTTGATACCATGATTATGTGAAACCCATATGCAATGCTATAGAGGAATAAAATGTTAAAGTAGATTTGTTGCAAACAAATAAAAGACAAGGTAAACATTAGTGATAAAATTATATGAGGGCCACGGAAGGATATTTTTCATTAACTGTTTGCAAAATAAACTCATGAATGATATGGGAATTAATTAAAGTGAAAACATGAAATGAAATCATAACCAAACACATTTATTTATAATTGATACAATATGTATGTTATGAGGAAATTTGAATTTCAATTGAAAATCTAATCTAATCACCAAATATTAAAATTTAAACTAATCCAACTTAACCTGAAATTTGAAATTTAAACATAAAGCCTTTTTATTTTTAAACCTACAAAGATAAAAGGAGATATTATAAAATTGTCTTATAATTAAATAATAATTTAAGTTTTAAATAGATAAATATACACGTATATATATAATTATTTTATTTTGCAAATAGAACTTATCAAAATATAAACAATATTTATTTTATTATTGTATAAAAATATAAAATAATTTGATTACTCCCCTTTAAATGATTTCATTTGAATTTCAAATATATATATATATATATATATATATATATGTACATACATAACCAGTAACCACTCCATCATCATCCAAACCGAACTTATAAAAAGTAATCAAAATCTAAATTATATATATATAAAATGATAAATAAATTCAAAAACTTACTCCAAATCTGAATTTTTTATTTGATGTACATATAAAAATATTAAATCATCTTCAACCTAATTTTGAAGAACAGAATATATTCATGATTTATTATATTTAAATGTCATTTTTTAATATCTATGAATGTGGTTTAAGAAAATAGATAAAATATATATAATTTTTGGCCAGAATAATTTTAGGAAAATCATGATTCATTTTTCATTTCAAATAGTTAAAATTAATTTTTATATAAGTCTAAGAAAATGATATAAATGGATAACATTAATTTAGATTCAAATACACACACACTCGATTGTATGAAGCTTAATTTTTCATAATATTATCCAAAATTTTTGAAAATAATTAAGATAGATGAGATTTAAATTTTAAATAAGTAAAAATAATTTATATATATAAATTAATTATTCATTCCTGCACCTAACTTCAAATCTAAATAATATATTTTATACACATTTAAAAATAATATATCATCTTGAATCTAACCTCAAACTTGGTTTTGGAGCACAAAATCACAGAAAAGGTATCTTGAAATATAAAATTGCAACATACATAAAAATAATCATGTGGCATTCTCTCATAGCTTTGAAACCATACTTATAAATAAGGATCTATCACATGATTAAATCTAGTTTTTACTATAAGAAAACACATTTAAAGCAATTTTCCCAAAAATTTTGATTTGAGGTTAACAATTTGGACAATATAAAATATAATTGTGAAAGAATTGAGGCAATCATCAATCTGTCTATATAATAAACTCATTAGATTAATCTGTTTTTTGCTTCTTTTCATCACTGTATACTATGAATAACCTTGATGCCTCATTTGGCATATTGAAGGAAATAAAAAAAAAGTAAATTTTTACAACATTTAAAAAATAAAATACTGAACATTACAGAAAATTGAAAAACGATTTTCTTTTCTTTTTTAATTAATTGACCATACTAAATAAAACATTAGACTAGCTCTAGAAATTAAGACCAATTGAACCCACATGTAAGATTACGACTTTAGAGTAAGCCCACCCTGAACAATTGGGCCACATTAACAAAAACAAATTTATTTGATTTTCTTGTTTAGTATTGGGTGGGTTTGTGGTAACGGAAAGGATTAAATAAAGTACAATAAGATCATGATGGTTTATTTCTTTTTATTTGATCCAATTTTATTATAAATAGTTTAGTAATGTTGTAAGCCTTATTTGTAATTTTAGTTTATTTTTCAGTTTTGATTCTGATTAGTTCTAAGTCTTTTTAGAAAAATGAATTCTTCTGCCACCAAAAAGGTATATTAATAAAATTTAAAGATTTTGTTCTCATTTCTTAAAAGATAATATTTCAGGAGAGCTCAGAAAATACTTTTGATTGAATTTAATATTTTTTAAAAATTGTAATTGACATGACGTAAAAAAGTGAAATAAATTACACTTTCAGAAATTAAATAGAGGTGGAGCCTATCTTTAACAATTGAGTCAATAAAGTGATTTGATGCTTTTTACATAAGTTTAAGCTCATTCTTATCAATCGAAAAACATTGATGAGATTTTCATTTTTATTTGAGTCTCACAATATTCGAATCTTGATTATCCCCTTTCCTTACTTTGATCAAAATTACATTTTACATCATTCTGATTGAAGTTTTGAGATCAATAATTATTTTTTATTGGGTAAAGCTATACATTATCAATCATGAGTCATGATGAATCCAGTTTTTGAACCAGAAAACAATTTAATGGCAAAATTGAATTTACTGGTATGATTCTTTTTTCTTGGTCTGAACATTAATTAATAGGGAAAATAGAAACTTGGGATCATCAAAGAAAATTTAAATCAGTTAAGGATCAATTGTTATTAAAATCTAAATTAAAAATAAGCTCAAATAAATTATTATTAATTTAAACTGAGTTGTTAAAATCTGAATTAATACTTATTGATAAAAGACTAACCAACATTAACAGGTATCATTTTGACAATAAGTAATTTTTTGATTAATATAAATTTTTTTAACGATCTTGATTGATAATTTTTTAAATTAATATGTATGGGAATTGTGCTGGGGAAAAAAGGAAAAAAAAAGTGAAGAAAGAAAAAGATGCATTGGAGAAGAGGTTGATTAGTTTTATGTTTTAAGGAGGAGTTGAATATTAAATCTGCATCAGAACAGCATACTTCTCTATTTTTATTTATAATAAAAACTATCACTTTTTATTTAATTTTTTTATATAAAAAAATCATATATTTTAATAAGTATTATTACATATTTTTAAATTGCCTCTCAATTTACATTAACGAGAAATAATTAATGTATGCTTATGTTAATTAATATAAGATATTTTAATTAATTTTTTTATTTTCAAACTTAATTATTATGATTAACTAACTTTTTAAAATTGTATAGTATAATTTTTTTCTCTTATATATAGAAATGGAGTAATTCTTAATAATCATGTTGTTGCAACTATATTTTTTTGTCACAACTGCAATAAATCTTCAAAATTAAGTCTGAAAGTTTAGGATTGAATTTATAACGGATTATATTTATTAAAAGAAAGATTGAATTTTTTTTCAAAATAAAAAAAATGACATGGGAGACAAATTTTGCTTCACCATCTTCTATTCTCAAATTCCTATAATTAAGAAATATTTTCCATTTCACCCAATTGTCAAGTGTAAATTGTTTAAATTTTAAGATTTATTTTTAATTTGAGTTAACTCTTTTCTTAGGGAAGAAAATCGACATCAAAATTTATTATTCATTGTGTCATAGCTCTTTTGAAATAAAAATTGATGATATCTGATAAAAATAACATAATCTTGGTATCGTTAGCAACGATACTCTTTCTAGTCATTGCGTCTCAGCAAACCATTTCTTACAGAACCAAACTTCATCTCAAAAGCCAATAATTGAGTACTCTCTCTCATCTCCCCCCACCCGACCAAAAAAAAAAAAAAAATGTAAACATTAGGTTCAGAAAGGTAAAATAAAGCAATATATAGCAAAATAACAATCATTCTTTTAACTACTTTTTAGCCAAAAAAAAACCACTATCATGGCCAAATCTCATTCACCAAAGTTGAAATTCATGCTTCTCACAAGTTATGAAGCATGCGTACGTACATTCCCGATAATAGTACTTCTGAACGTAAGCATTTTACGCTCAAAATTACACATTACGCACTTCTGCATCAGAAAGTTTGGTTTAAGAATCTACTAAATTAAATCTTATTGACTCAAGAATGACAAAAACAATAATGTTATATCATGCCCATGCTTTATATTTTGAGAAAATCATCATATCTGGCAAGTTCTGGTATCCTTACATGAGCAACATAACTTGCAAGGCACGATGAACTCAACCACAAAACAAGATTCTAGTGAACGCTGAGTTCATCAAGTTTTCAGTTTGTTTCTTGCAAGGCATGACAAGCCTTCATACTCTCTCTCTTTAGCTTTACCTCCATTGCTCATCTTAGCCCTAACTATATAGAGACGCTTTTTTAACAAACCTACGTTGCAGAATAAAGGTGACAAGATCAGAGCAGAGCAAACACAAAGACCCAAAAAAAAAAACAAAAAAAAAAAAAAAAAACAAGGCCCTGCAAGAGATGGGGATGAAACTCAGACTTGGTGATTCCAAAGAGCATGATGAAGAAAAGCACCCACTTCTGTTAAACATGGCGGTGCCAGAAGCTGAGAGGAGCCTGATTCAGAAAGCCATGAACCAGACATTTCAGAGCTCAGCTCATTTGGCGAATCTTCTGCCTACAGGCTCGGTACTTGCTTTCCAGCTTCTGTCACCAATCTTCACAAATCTAGGAATATGTGACTCAGTGAGCCGGTTCATGACTGCAGGACTTGTAGCTCTCTGTGGAGCCTCGTGCTTCTTGCTATGCTTCACCGATAGCTTCAGAGACTACAAGGGAAACATATGTTATGGCTTTGCCACTTTCAATGGCTTGTGGGTTATCGATGGATCAACCACACTTCCACTTGAACTTGCTGCAAAATATCGCCTGAGGTTTATAGATTTCATGCATGCAGTAATGTCAGTACTAGTATTTGCTGCAATTGCGATGTTTGATCAGAATGTGGTCAACTGCTTCTTTCCGGAACCATCAAACCAGACACAGGAGGTCCTCACATCATTGCCTGTGGGCATAGGCGTTATTTGCAGCATGTTGTTTGTTGTATTTCCAACACACAGACATGGAATTGGCTTCCCCCTTTCCACAAACTAATAAGTTTTGAGTTCTTTTTTGTATCTTTGTATCACTTGCCCTTGGAGCACATTCAGGAATTTGACAGGTTATTGAAATCAGAACCACAGCTATTTTATGGATTTTTTTGTTTGGAACAAATTATACAATGAGTCAAAAGATTTGTACATTATAGAATGCATTATAGAGTATAGAATATTGGACCTTCTGATATAACCTGTCATTAAAAAAATTCAATGTCATTGATTTCATGGAAGATCAAGATCGACAAATCAACTATACAAGGAATCATTGGAATTCGAAATCTTCATGAAATTTGAAACTTGAAATTTGCGTGCAAGTCCAAAGGACTCATTCAAAAGGCTTGTTCTATGAATATTTGAGAAAACTGCATATGAGATAGTAAGCCTACAAGGTCGGAGAATCTAAGTTTCGATAAATCCTATATTAGAATCCCATACTCTAATCAAATAATCCAAGAAGTTGAATTTTAAGTTCAACTTCATATGGTAAAAAGTTTGATTACATAATTTAAATGATAAATCTATACAAGCTGCAATCCTTTAATATAACCACAATTGTCTTCTTCTATACTATAATTACCTATTGAAATATCAGACTTGTTCCCTCCACATACTAATTTCTTTGTTTATATATGATAGTTATATTATTCTTTAATAATCTAATTTTCACCTTTGGCTTGCTTACAGAGGGAGCCACCTACATATCAACCATCTTATATGTCATTCTAACTCTATACCTTATCAAGTTATACTTATATCCTACTTCCATATATAAGTTATCTTTCAAGATCCCCTTTTCCCTTAATTCCTATGATCTCCATCTCCCTTGATCCCTAGCACACCTCAATGGATTTTCTCAATTTCTTTCTAAACTTTGGTTGTGTCAATTTTATACAGAGACTTGTGTTATTTACTCCAATGGTTTCCACTTTCTACATATTCAACTAGAATCTAACCATCTAGTTAGTCCCAGATATTTTGTCAATCATCGTTTGAATGTGATCATATCAATTTCAAAGAGACGTTGAAACATGGACAGATGTAGGATTGAACTGTTGGAGGAGTGGAAGAAAGTGCATTGAAAATGAGACTAATTTGGAGGATCAGGATAGGAAGTGAAGTAAATATATGGAAAGACAGATGGTTTCTTGACCTAGAAGGGAATTCATCTCAGCCGATGCAAATTCCTCAGGTGCATGGTGGTTTGAATTTTGGAGAGCTAAATAATGAAAGACAATCTACCCTTGATTTCTCTTTGGCATATAATTTCAAGATTGCTAATGCTTGTTTCAAAAAGAGGGATAAGCATCTCATCACTTATAAAAATAGAGCTTCAAGGTCACAGATTGTTTTTTTTTTTTTTTCTTTTGGCAAAGAAAGCATATAGGAGACTTTGTAAAAATTGTAAGGTGATTCCTAAAAATGCTGTAATGACACAACACAGGATCCTTGTCCTTAATGTGTGTATTGTGAGTAAAAATCAAAAGTTAAACAAGTAATAACTCCAAGGATCAGGTGATGGCAATTAAAAGGTGAAAAGAGAAAAATTTTTAAGAGAAATCTCTCGGTTGAAGAAATTTGGGAGTCTTAAAGAAGTACTAACATCTTGTGGGAGAACTTGGTTGTGAAGGTAAAGAAGGTTGCAAAAGCAGTTTTGGGAGAATCAAGAGGTTTTGGTCCGAAAGATAAAAAGTCTTGATGGTGGAATGATAGCGTACATGAAAAAATCAAGTATAAGGAGTGTTTTAAAGCCATCCATTTGTGCAATAATGATGAAAATTGAGAAACATATCGTATGGCTAAAATGAAAACTAAGAAGGCCATAAGTGAAACTCGTTCTAAAGCATTTGAAGAGTTTTATAATAGTCTTGGGACAAACTAAGGAGAACGAAAAATTTATAAGATTGTTAAGAGTAAGGAAAGAAAATCAAAAGATTTGGAACAAGTAAGATGTAAAAAAGATAAAGAGGAAAGTGTTTTGATCACAAATAATGATATTAAAGATATATGAGAAACATACTTTCTAAACTTTTTAATGATGACGGAGGTTCGTCAATTAACTTGAAAGATTTAGTAACTTGAAAGAAAGTGAAATTTGTCATTTTATCAAAGAATACACGCTTGGGAAATGAGAAAAGCTCTTAAAAAAAGAGCAAATGGGAGAGTCAATGAACCTAATTGTATCCCTATTGAAATGTAAAAATGTTTGGATGAAGAAGGAATACGGTGGTTAACTAAGTTATTTAATGAGATCTTACAATCTAAAAGAATGCCTGACGATTGAAGGAGAAACACCTTAGGTTCTATTTACAAAAATAAAGGAAATATTCAGAATTGTGCAGGGATTAAGCTTATGAATCATACTATGAAATTATGAGAAAGAGTGATAGAACATAGGTTGAAATTAGAAACTAGTATTTCCAAGAATCAATTCAACTTCATGTCATGGAGGGAGACTACAGAAGCGATTTATCTACTAAGGGGATTAATGAAAAAGTATTAATGCAAAAGTAAAGATTTACGTATGATTTTCACTGATTTAGAAAAAACTTTTGACCGTGCTCCAAGAAAAGTACTTTGGAAGGCATTAGAAAAGAAAGGTGTTCGGATTGCCTATATTTGAGTTATACAAGATATGTATGAGAGGCAACAACTAGTATAAGAATGTTTGATGGCGAAATAAAAGACTTTCCTATAAAGATTGAATTACATCAAGGATTATCTTTGAATTCTTATTTGTTTGATCTAGTCTTAGATATTTTGACTGAGCATATTCAAGAGAAAATTCTTAAATGCATGCTTTTTGTAAATAATATAGTTCTTGTTGCAGAGACAAGAAAAGAAATTAATTGTAAACTTGAGTTATGGAGGAGGACATTGGAGTCAAAAGGTTTCTGCCTGAGTAAGAGTGAAACAAAATATCTACATTGTAATTTTGATAAAAGGTCAGTGAGTAGTAACTTAGAAGTGAAATTGGGTGATCAAATCATACTTCAAGTGAAAAAATTTAAATATTTGAGAACGATTGTTCAACATAATAGGAAAATTGATGGAGATATTACACTTAGGATACAAGTTGGATGGTTTAATTGGAAAAAAGCTAAAGGAGTTATATGCGATCGAAAGGTACCTAATAAACTTACAACAACAACAACAACAACAACAAGCCTTTATCCCACTAGGTGGGGTCGGCTACATGGATTGCAAGACGCCATTGTGCTCTATCATTTATTAAGCTTTTAGAAATATTATTAATTAAGAGATCACGTTCAACAACTTCCAAGAGTGTTCTCTTAGGCCTTCCTCTACCTCTCTTAATCGGACTCAAAGTTATATGTTCCACTCTTCTCACTGGTGCCTCCCTTGGTCTTCTTTGTACATGCCCAAACCATCTCAACCGATTTTCTACCATTTTTTCCTCAATAGGTGCCACCCTCACTTTTTCGCGTATATGCTCATTTCGAATTTTATCTTTACGTGTATGTCCGCACATCCATCGTAACATTCTCATCTCTGCTACTCCAACTTTATGCTCTTGCTGTCCCGTTAGAGCCCAGCATTCACTACTATATAACATTGCCGGTCTGATAGCAGTACGATAAAACTTTCCTTTAAGTTTATTAGGCACCTTACGGTCACAAATAACTCCTTTAGCTTTTCTCCAATTAAACCACCCAGCTTGAATTCTATGTGAAATATCTCCACTGATTTCGCCATCATTTTGAATAATGGCTCCCAAATATCTAAACTTTTCCACTTGAGGTATAATTTGATCTCCCAATTTCACTTCCAAATTATTTTCGGATAGTCCTTTACCAAATTTACAATATAAATATTCCGTCTTACTTCTACTCAGACGAAAACCTTTCGACTCCAATGTCCTCCTCCATAACTCAAGTTTGCAATTAACCTCTTCTCTTGTCTCTGCTATAAGAACTATATCATCCGCGAAGAGCATACATTTCGGGATTTCCTCTTGAATATGTTCCGTCAAAACATTTAAAATCAAGTTGAACAAATAAGGACTCAGAGATGATCCCTGATGTAGTCCAATCTTTATAGAAAAATCCTTTGTTTGACCACTAGGCGTTCTTATACTAGTTTTTACCCCCTCATACATATCTTGTATGGCTTTAATATAAGCAATCCGTACTCCCTTTTTTTCCAACGCTTTCCAAAGCACTTCTCTTGGTATACGGTCATAAGCTTTTTCCAAATCAATAAAAACCATGTGTAGATCTTTATCTTTACAACGATACTTTTCCATTAATCCCCTTAGTAGATAAATCGCCTCTGTAGTTGATCTACCTGGCATAAAACCAAATTGATTCTCAGAAATACTTGTCTCCAATCTCAACCTGTGCTCAATTACTTTCTCCCACAATTTCATTGTGTGGCTCATGAGTTTAATCCCTCTATAGTTAGTACAATTCTGAATATCTCCTTTATTTTTATAAATAGGAATTAATGTACTTCTCCTCCACTCATCAGGCATTTTCTTGGACCGTAAAATCACATTAAATAACTTAGTTAACCATCTCACCCCTTCTTCACCTAAACATTTCCACGCTTCGATAGATATACAATCAGGTCCGTTGGCTCTACCATTTGCCATTTTCTTAAGAGCTTCCTTTACCTCCTTATCACGTATTTTTCGATAGAATGATAAATTTTGTTCTCCTTCACCAGTTACTAAATCCTCCAAGTTACTAGATGAATCCTCTCCATCATTGAAAAGTTTAGAAAAATAAGTCTCCCATCTATTTTTAATTTCATCATCTGTAACTAAAATTCTTCCCTCTTCATCCTTAATACACCTTACCTGTTCTAGATCTCTTGATTTTCTTTCCCTACTCTTGGCAATCTTATAAATATTTTGCTCTCCTTCCTTCGTCTCAAGGTTCTTATAAAATTCTTCAAAAGCTTTAGAACGAACTTCACCCACAGCTCTCTTAGTTTCCTTCTTAGCCATACGGTACCTCTCCCAATTTTCCTCATTGTTACACAAATGTATGGCTTTAAAACAGTTCTTCTTATACTTGATTTTGTCCTGTACACTATTATTCCACCACCAAGACTCCTTATCTCTCGGACCAGAACCTTTCGATTCTCCCAAAACTACTTTTGCAACCTCCCGTATCTTTTTAGCCATATCCTCCCATATAATGTTAGCACTTCCCTGAGAATCCCAAATTCCTTTATCCAAAAGATTTCGCTTGAAAATATCTTGCTTCTCACCTTTTAATTGCCACCACCTAATCCTTGGTGTTACTACTTGTCGACGTTTTTGGATTTTACTCATAATACACACATCAAGGACTAGGACCCTATGTTGTGTCGTTACAGCATCTCCGGGTATCACCTTACAATTTTTACAAAGTTTTCTATCTGTGTTCCTAACCAAAAGAAAATCAATCTGCGACCTTGAGGCTCCACTTTTGTAAGTGATGAGATGCTCATCTCTCTTCTTGAAACAAGTGTTGGCAATCTTAAAATCATACGCCAATGAAAAATCAAGAAGAGTTTGCCCTTCCTTGTTTAGCTCTCCAAAACCAAAACCACCATGCACCCTCGCATACTGACCAACTTCCCTCCCGACATGCCCATTAAAGTCTCCTCCAATAAAAATCTTTTCACTCTGTGGTATGTGTCGAATCAACCCCTCCAGATCCTCCCAAAATAATTCCTTAAGACTGGCTTCTGTCCCGACTTGCGGCGCATAAGCGCTAACAATATTAACAGTCTCACGTCCAATTATCATTTTTAAAGAAATAATTCTGTCTCCAATTCTGCTAACTTCTACAACGTTCTTCTTCCACTCCTTATCTATAATGATGCCTACTCCATTGCGTGCACTTACTTTTCCTGTATACCAAAGTTTGAAACCTTGAATATCCTTAGCTTCTTCTCCACGCCATTTTGTTTCTTGCAAGCAAATGATATTGATTTTCCTTTGAATCATAACCCCTACAACCTCTACAGATTTACAATTTAATGTCCCAACATTCCAAGTACCAAATCTAATTTTGCTCTTATGGACTAACTTCTTTAGCCGCGTGCGTCCAGAATGACGCGGTAGCCCTTGCTCATTTAACACTACATCCGGGCGCCGATGCAGCGGCTCTAACTCACTTATCACTGTACTCGAGCCATGCAGCGCGTTACTTACGGGCAACGACCTAGCATTAACATTATAACGTCTATTGTCCATGTTCATGATAGATTCAACAAATTTTTACATTGGCTGTTGATGGCCTAACACAACCCTCCTCCTTTACCCGGGCTTGGGACCGGCTATAAACATAGGCGGAGTTGTACCTAATAAACTTAAAGGAAAGTTTTATCGAACGGCTAGAAGACCAGCAATATTATATAATAGCAAATGTTGGGCTTTGACGGGACAATAAGAGCATAAAGTTAGAGTAGTAAAAATGAGAATGTTGACATAGATGTGTGGACATACACGTAAAGACAAAATTCGAAATGAGTGAATGCAAGAAAAAGTGGGCTTTGCATCTATTGAAGGAAAAATGGTAGAAAATCATTTGAGATGATTTGAACATGAACAAAGACGACCAAGGGAGGCACTTGTGAGGAAAGTGGAATAGATGATTTTAAGCCCTGTCAAGAATGGTAGAGGAAGACTAAAGAAAACACTTTTGAAAGTTGTTGAGTAAAATTTCTTAATTAATAATATTTTTAAAAGCTTAATAAAAGATAAAACACAATGGTGTCATATAATCAACATAACTAACCCCTTGAAGGAGTGTAGGGTGGATTTGCTTATTGATAGAGGAAGATGGAAATTGGGGGAGATGGTGGGATTATTTGCAATTGAGTTTATTGAGAAGATTGAAAGAATTCCATCTCAAAGACTGAAAGAGAAGACAAGGTGATGTGGTCAGTGGCTAAAGATGGCTGTCATTCTTTGAGGAGATGGTAGCGTCAAGAGATGGGTACAAAGAATATCATTAATAAAAGGGCAAGAACACTTTTGCTTTCCAAAAGAGCTATGGGGTAAGATTTGGAAGATCGGAGCTTTGCCAAAGGTTCTACACTTTCCATGGAGGTGTTTGAAGAGAGCTGTACAAACCAAGGATGAGTTGAGGAAAAGGAGATGTTGCAGGTTAGCTCTTGATCCTGTGTGCGGAGAGAAGGATGAAACTCTGGAGCATATGATTTTCTTGCACCCATGGGCCAATAAAGCATGCATGGTATGGCTGTTTGTTGGCTCCAAGAGTGGATAGAGAGAATGTGCAGAATTTTGATCAGTGGTGTGTGAAAAAGATGTTCAGTTCTGAGGTTCTGGATGAGTTTCAGAAAGCGTATGTGGCCTGGATGTTTTGGAATACAGAAAAAGAGGAATGGGATGGTATAGAGATAGTATATTAATATACTATGTATTTCAGGTCAAGCAAGAGGAAATTATGAATTGGCAACCAGAAGGAAAATATCTTACCTGCAGCGAGAAGGAAGATATGTCATCTGCACAGAGAAAGCTGAGAGCATGTAAGTTACTACGAGAAATTACCAGTAATAAAGAACCAAGCAAAGGCCTTATGCAGGTACCAATTAATACTCTCCTTCAATTTGAAACTGTGATTCAGCTTCACAACAGCAGATCCAACAAATTAATTATCTGGGTGTTTTCTAAAGGAAACTTCTTTTTTTGTAGAGAAAGGAGGTGAACCTCTAGAACAGTAAAACTAACAGATATGCCAAAGTGCTTGCAAATCACCATAATCAGGCTATTTGCTCTCCTTTCCAGTACTGCAAAGATTGGGAAAAAATTTACTTTTCACAATGAAAACAAGATGAAAAAAGGAGTCAACATCAAATTTTTTCCTTGAGAAACCATTTAAAATACAAAGGACAGCCTGCAAAGCTGAGATGGGTCTGGCAATCCACTGTGCGTGTAAAGGTGTTAGATTGTGTGTGAGGAGAGAATCCATACCTCCTAGCCCTAAGTACCACCCAATACTCATTTGCAAAGTAGATCAACAGAGACTTTTTTCCCCCCACCAAAAGAAGATCAATATAGATGAAGATGACAAAAACTGAATGGGAGAACATATGAATAGATATGGTCATCTACCTCGTGATTTTATTTCACATGTTATCCACCCAAAGACATGTTACTGAAGCAGTAAATGAACACTTGGCAAATCAATTTATTCAATCTCTCTCTCTCTCATCATGTGCACATTGTTGGTCATGCTTTGGGAGTGACATTTATTGTCTCATCTAGCAGGAATAGTTGACCTCTACAATTTTTGTTTTTTTTGGCTGAATGAATACAACATTACTATTTAAAAATATCATGTGAATCCTAAATTCAACATAATGATAAAACAAAATCCCTTAGGCCAAAGAAATAGAAAGCTGAAAATAAAAAGCTTCAACAAATGTGAAAATTGAATAAATGAACAAGGGTGAAAAATGCATGCTTTAATTTAGGAAATTTACAGCACTGGACTGACAAGTTTACAGTGCATTGACAAAGAACTACAATCATAAGTAAGGGGTTTGAATGAAACAAATAACCACACAAATAATCAAGCTTATCTTGCCAAAAACTCTAGCAAATACTTTCCACCAAACAGGTTCATCATCAGAGTTTTTAAGGAGGTGGGGAAAAAGGAGAAAGTTTCTGCAAAGAAAAGAGTGAGCCTATACGGTAGAGTCAGTTATAGGGGAAAGCCAATTTGAAAGTCTTGCAAGCCTACTTCCATAATGTGACACTTTATTTCTTGATGAAGGGTCTAATCATCAGAGAATGTTAACCATTGGAGAGGAGAAAAAACAGATCCAGGAGTTGAAATGGATGCAGTGTATGGTCAATAAGAATGAAGTAGATACAGTCAGCTTAGGTCATGAAGAGATTTGATTGGTCAAAATTATGCAAGTTGGCGCCTTGTAAGAAGAATAACCTTTAAAATCACAATCAAATAATTAAACAGGAAAATATGGATTTGTATATAATTTCAAAAATTTTACGACCGCTAGATGCATATCATAGCTTGCGAAGAATAGAATTATGCAATTGAATCATTGCATTAGGAGTTAATGATTGGGATCAAAATCATCACGCATATAAAAAATAATGCCTTCAGCAGGCTTAGCCCAAACATTACAGGTCATGAAGATGATTAACAAGCTCTCTGTGCATGCACTTTTCATACCTTTTAATTGATGTCTAGGTAATGTTAATAACAGAAGGGAAGGAAAGGAGATTGTTAAAGGTTTTATGTGAATGCAGCACATACCGATAATTTATAAATATTCAACTCTGAGGTTCAAATAATTTATGCATCAGCTCAGCCAGCAGTAGCTCAGTAGCTTCTCTCACCTTTTTACGATCCCAAAGTCCACTCATCACTGCATTCCAGATTCCCTCATCTGGAACACAACCATCTAACACCATCTCATCAAGAATCCGAGCAGTTTTGTGCTGGTCTCCTTTTTTACTATAGCATTTAATTAAACATTCAAAAGTTCCAGCTTCAACAGAGATACCCCTAGTACGCATGCTAAGATACAACTGAAATGCACGTGTTGGGTCAACATTACTGCAGAGGCCTTGGACCACCATGTTATGGATTTTCACATGACGGACCCAAGTTACTCGGTTTGGTGAGACACCACCAAGCACCATCTCATCAATGAAGTTTGCAGCTTCTTGATAGCTGCATGTAGCACAGAAACCACTAATGATTTTCCCATACAGCCCTGCATCTGGCTTCAAGCCTTGAAGCCTCATCCTGTCAAGAAGCTCTACAGCTTCACTAAGCATCCCTTCATTGCACAGTCCATGAATTAATGTACTATAAGTAACTGTGTTGGGCAAAAGATGTTTCTTAACCATCGTGTCTAACAGCTCCTTTGCTTTAAAAGACTGACCACCTTTACATAAACCATCCATTACAGAACTGTAAGTAAAAACATTTGGCTCAATGCCAACTCTTTTCATCTCTTCAAGCAATTTCATTGCTTCATCCACATTATTAGACCGACACATTCCATGCATCAAACAAGTATAGGTAACAACAGAAGGTGTAAGACATTTCTGCCTCATCTCATGGAATAATTCCTTTGCCTCGTTCATTTTTCCAAGTCTACAAAGCCCATTAATCAAAGTACCGTATGTATAAGAATCTGGCAGGAATCTTCGATTTGGCATCTCACGAAATATCCGTAAAGCAGCATCAATTGTTCTATTGTTCATGCATAAGGCTTTGATTAAAATATTTAGAGAAACAACACTCCGTGGAATGCCCATTTCTCTCATCTCCCTATAAATACTAAGAGCCATCTTTAGATGATTTTCCTCTACTAGGATATCAAATATTGTAATATAAGATCTTTGGGTGGGTTTTAACTGAAAGTCTGCCATCCCACGGAAAATCCTGACGGCATCAAGAGGCCTATGAACACGTCCATAAGCTCTGCAAATGGTTAATAATATGTCTTCTGTTAACTCACAATTTTCTTCCTTCATTCTGTGAAGCATCCCTTCGGCTGATCTGAACTGGTTCACAGAGACTAACCTAGAGATCATGAGACCAAAAGTATTTTGATCATGACGGAACCCATTATTATATTCAGCCGTTGCGGAATCAAATATCATAAGAGCTTTATGTATGTCCCTTTCTGCTTTTATTAGCTGCTCAACTAGACTAGTTGTAATTTGTTTTGGCCATTTCATCAAGGTTTTACCGCCCATCATCCCCAACTTGTAATACTTAGCAGATTTCAGAAACTTCTAATTGACTCACTAGAGGCATCTTGAAGCAATAACAGTTGCAAGGAAGACTAATGTCATTTTCAACTTCTCCAGCACCGCGAACAATACTATGAAAGGATTGTGATATTCTACCATAATCATTAGGTACAGTCGAATATTGCAAGGGAAATCATATTATTCGCAAGTCTTATGCGTGGAAGCTGGTGTAAACGGCGATTTAAAGAAATGAAGGCAGGCTACAGCCCTGCTAACCTAGAAGGGTTCGAAGAAGAAGGCCAAACCAGATAGAAATATCCTCCTTGAAGTTCTGAAGTCTAAAAAGCCTTGATTTTGTTTTCTACCTTTCTCCCATTATTACATTACAAGAACGATGGTGGTGTCGCTGGTTTCAAGAACGTCGATTCCAATAACGAGGTGGGAGGTCTTGGACTCTTGGTTCTGGTTCAGACGATAGCTTGGAGATTCAGCTCAGACAATGTTGATTTTGAAGGACGAGAGGAAGAACTGTCGAAGATGAGAAACGAAGGTGGTGGTGGAGCATCGGAGACGAGATTAGCGGTGAGGAGCGCAGCTGTGTGTGGAATGTTGTTTGTCGGAATGAGGAAGGCGGAAGAGGAGATCTACGAATGATACATTTAAAGACTAAAATATGTTCTTCATAAAATTAATATTCAAATTAAAAGTAATTATTTTAAAAATGATAAAATTATAAATTTAATTACAAACTATTCATTTCATTTTAAATTATAAAATATTTATAGATAATATTTTACATGACAATATATTTCGTTGTATATATTTTATAATTTTATTTTTTTAAAAATAAAAATATAAATTTTTAAAAATACCTTTCATTTAATTTTTTATTATTAATAAAAATATTAAAAAATATATATAATAGAAATAATATTAAAAAGATATCATTAATAAAACTTTATTTTTATTAAAATATTTTATATTTTATGATATTAAATTTTTTTTAAAATATTTTATAATTTAAAATAAAAAAATATTTTATTTTGTTTTTAAAAGTATCGGCATCATATACTAAAATATATTAAATAAGTCATTAACAAACAAAATGATAGTGCCCAGCACTTTTTGTCCAAATGATGCTAACAAACGTTTGTTCTCCCACACCACCTGAGTATAAACCATGCACCTGTGATCGGTCACGCAAAAGTTGTCAGCATGGTTGCAATAATTCTTCTCCTTCATCCACTCCTCCACCATCTCTCATGGCGTCGTCGACTCTCATCCCTTAAGTGCCGTAAGTTCTTACCTTTATGCTAGTAAATTAGCACCCCATTTTGTCTCTTTGGGACTGAATAAGCAGGCTCGTGACACTGCCCAGCTTCTGGTTCCACTGGGAGAGGCTACCCTAACTTGGTTGCCTGCATCTAAGAGCTCCCTCGCCATATCCGATAGTGCCACTTTGGGGAGATGACAAAATTGTTTAGGAAGGTGAAGCTTGAGCCTTTCGTAGGTTTGATTCTGCCAAAGAGAAGCTATGCAATCAGCCAAGAGAACAAATCCTTATGACAAGCACCCTGCAAGGCCAATGAGATGGTTTTGAATCCTGGTCATTGAGAGCTTGAAGAAACAGAGCACTTTCCTCAGTCAGTTGGCTGCCGAGATCAATTCTAAAAACAGAGGACTCTCAACTGCCACGCCTTCGCCGCCTACTTTGTCAAAGGCTCCGACGGTCCTCGACAAATTCTCATAGATCTTAGAGTGAGAAAGTCAATGTAGGGAGCAAAACCTTGTGCGCTCACGTCTATTGCACTTGATGGAGTCCATGCTTGCATGAGAGGATTGCTCTCCCCTCTACTTTATGAGCTTGAAAAGAGGTGATTCTAGGGAGAAGGAAGGAATGAGCTCCGGTCTCTCATTAATGCAGCGCTGACTAAGGAAGGAGGGTGGGTGGTCTCTTCTCCTCCTCCTCTTATTGAGCCACACAAGAGAGTTCTTATGCAAAACTGGAGGGTGGTGAAGAAAAAGGAAGGAGAAGGTACAGATTTAGGGTGTTCCCCGGGTTGAGACATCCTTGCACCGTGTCCTCTCTTACAAAATAATAAGAATTGAATTTTTGTTCTGGTTCCCATCTCATCCCATCCCATCCTATTAGAAATTGAAATTGAATTAGGACAAGATCGAGATATCTTATTATTGTCCCAATAAAGCGAACAATATAAGAAAAATGTTTAAATAATAATATTTATTAAAATTTTAAATCACATAACTTTTTAAGTTTTAAACCAAAATAACATGAGTATATAAACCACAGTCATCAATTACAACTACATGTGTATAACTTAAAGTCAATTATACATGAAACATAATATATTACGATAACAATTACAAGTGATCTTTGGCCTATAAAAGCAACAACAATAGACAAGTCAGGTACAATATCAAGTTATTGTTTTTCTTTTTTAGTTGAGATATGTTAAGCTAGAAATTCTTTCAAAAATAAAACAAGAAATAGATGTAAATAAAAGTTATTAAATAGATAGATATAAGAATAAAGTATATTAATATAAATAATATATTGTAAAGAAATATATTACCCTATACTGTTACTCTGTATCATTAAAATTATCAATATAAAAAAATTTTAGTTTTAAATGAGAATTATGTGTATTGAAATTATAATTAATATAATTAATATATTTAATGTATATTTTTAAAATAAAAGATAATATACATATATATATATATATATATATATAATATTCGACACGGAATAGGACATCCCAAAAACAATCACATATCATGTTTTGTCTCAAACCCCTTTCACGTCCGGTCTTGTAAAATCTCATCTCAATTGTTTTCAAGCTAAGACAGGACCTGTCTCTATATAATTGAGATGAAACTGGATCGATCAAGATAAGTATAAGTTGAACACCTCTAGTATAGATAGTGAGGAGAGAGAGTGAGAGAATGAAAGAGAAGACATGAATGTCATACATGCAGTTTGATGGAGGAACAATGCCCCGCATTAAATTCATGTGTGACCCATAATATTAAATAAATATCTGTCAATGCAAATTATCTGTTGATGCTAGGTGCTACAATTTAATTAATTAATGATTTATTTTATATTACTCTATAATATATAATACTTAAATCATTAAATTTGCATTTTTACTTTTTTAAAAATTACATATGCTCAACAACTATCCATTATTTTTACAGTAGTTAAAAATACATTTTAACTTTTGAAAGAGATAATGATAACAAATGACAAAAAAATCATAAAAATAATATATTGCAGATAACTCCGCCAAAAATAATATTCTAATTAAAAGAATAAATATAGCATGTCTAGCTAGACAAGATAGGATTCAACTCGTGCCCAATGCGTAGCTTGGTGAGCCTAAATAACTCGAGTGGGGTTGATTAATCGGACTTGACTCTCCTTCATTGATGGAAGCCTTCTTTGCGCCTCCATTGGGGGCCTATATTTAGATAATCCAAAATGTATTTGGAGAGCCAATTTATAAAAAAAATTAATATTAAATATGAATCATTTATATTAAATATGAACTGTTTAAATTGATAAATAAATTTATTAAATTTTTTACAATTTATAAAAAAAATTTATTTTAATAAATGGAAAATAAAAATAAAAAAAATACTAAATTTGAGTTGACCAAATTTAACCAAAACGATCAAGATATAGGCCTCCCTCAGCAAAAGTGCAGAGGAGGTTTCTTTTAACGAAGGGGAGTTAGAAAGCTGAGTCATGATTAGCTGAGCTTTTAGACTGTGAGGTTGGCAAATTGGTAATTTTCTGGATTACAATTTGCAACCTCATGTTGCATTGCATCAAACGGAATGGTCGATATATGTATATTGAATTGGTTTTCATCTTGAGAAAAAAAATTTAAATTGCAATTTTAATTTAAAAGCGTTGGCACTCTAAACTCATTTTTATTATAATATTTTTAACATTTAAAAATAGTACATATAAGTATCTAATTGTAATAAAAATTAATTTTAATTTTTATTTGATTAAAAAATTATAAAAAATTATTTTAAAAATTATAGAAAAGGATTTAAAAATTTACAAATAAGTATTTCATAAAAAAATTCATACCGACTACGCTCAATAAATTGCAGTGGCCGGGTCAAAGTGCTTAGTCAAAATAAAATTTTTGTTTTTATATCAAAAAGAAATAACTTTTGTCTCTTAATATTTATTTATAATTTAAAAAATTTAATCAACATTAATTTTTTATAAAATATTTAGTTATAATTTTCAAGGTCTTTTTTTTTTTTTACTTTTAAGGCTCTTTTCTATAATTTTCCTGTTTACTAATGGTCAAAGTTAATATTTATTAACAATAAGATAGCATTGCACCATTCTCAATTGTTAAAAGGAAAAATTGTATATAGAGCAAAATTGTCTTTTAATCTGAAAAAAAATTTTCCACCATCCAGAAACTGTAAAAATTAAATTAAATTAATAATTTTGTATAGAATCTATTTTTATTTTCCATTTCAACTTGCCCTCCTCTCCTAAAAGTGGGTACTTTTACTGAGGTCGTTGAACAACAATGACTGTCCCCCCTCTCCCCCCCCCCCCCCCCAAAAAAAAAAAAAGCTTCAACATGAATATATTTGCTTCAATAAGATTATTGGCATTGTTTTACAAAATACGTACGCTGGTTATTCTTTATGCTGAACATTATTTTTGAATTATTTGAATCATTCATATTTGTTATACACACAGATATATTTGAAGTGAAATAAATTTAAGCATTAATTTCTGTTTTATTTTCTTTTTTCAATTATACCATTACTATAATGAATATTTTTTAAATTGTCTTATATATTATGAAATAAACACCAGCCATAACATATTAAAATTTTCAAAGTTGTCCTACATTGCTCTTCTTTACATTCATGATTTGGCAAAGGGTATGTTTTTTAGGTATTGTATTTGTTGGTTTTTTTTTTAAAAAAGGATAGTGCCTTTTAATTTTTGGTTTATTTATTCATGTAAGTAGTTAAGGCTAATTTCATTTTATGATTCAGCATACAATGAGTTTTCAATTTTCGGACGAAACTTAAAACAATTGCCTCCTCCTCTTACATTCAAGGCTAGCCAAGTTTCAAGTTTTAAATGGTGTGATGCATGTAAGTCTATGCTATAGCTAATGCCAGTTTTATTTTTGGGCTTCAAACAAGCACAACAAGCGCAATATAACGTTTAGAACGTTTAGGTCTTGAGTAAAACTTGACTCTAATATAAACTTATTAGAAATGGACTTTTTGGTATTATAAAAACAAAACTTTATATAAATTTTAGGTTAGGCTCAAATATCTAGCCTATCAAGTTATCACATTTGGCCTAAGATCAACATGGCTAACCTATTTCCTCCCCCATCTATCACTGAAGAGAAAAGAAAAAAGAAAAGAAAAGCAATTAATACCTATTTCCTCCCCTATCTATTACTGGAAAACAAATAGTACTGCATTCATATTAGATGATCACCTTTGTTGACCGATTATTCTTCCGAACTTCAAAATGATAGAATTCAATTTTGCTAATTCATTCATTTTAGTCAGCTTTATATTAACGATACAGGATATAAAAGCCATGATAATTTTTTTTTCCCTCTATGTTCTTTAGAGAAGTGATAGAAGAGACTGGAGCATGTTCCTTAAATATGATATTGTATTTTGTTAATAATATCAGTATCTATTTCTTCTTCAAAAATTGATACATATCTTTTTTCATGTCAACCTTAAGACGTGATTATGTATCACATACTGCAGATTTTTTAGGTATGTTTAGTGTTTTAATATTTTTTTAAAAAATTGATTCAAATGCTGAGGTGAACACTGAAAAGGAAAATTATTTAAAGGGAGAATTTTAATTAAGGATCATGAATGGAATTTAATTATAAGTGTGTCTCAAAAAAATTCAAACTTTTATTTCAGTCCAAGAAAGTTAAAGTAAAAATAATTTCAACGGTGAAAAGATCAAACTACCCTTTACTTATTATACAAAATCATTAATTATTAATTTTCTTATTTTATTTGTTAATTTATCAATATTAATTGTTAATTTTATCTTTTTGTTAGACAATCAGTAATGTTAATTTTTAATTTGCTAACTTTACTTGTTAATTTACTAACATCAACTGTACATTACAATACATGTCAGTAATTTAAAACTAATGTAATGATTTACAGCTGATATTAGTAAATTAACAAATAAATTTAAAAATTTAACAACTCATATTGTTGTTTATGATTGAACAACTGATATCAAATCTTGTATAATTTTTGACTTATAAATTCATATAATTTATAACTCATATTAGTAAATTAACAAGTGAAGTAAAAAAATTACAACTAATAATTTTGTACAACAAATGAAGGGTAGTTTGGTTTTTTTATTATCAAAATTATTTTTAATTTAATTTTCTTAAATTGAACTAAAATTTTATTTTTTAGAATCCATTAATAATTACATCTCGTCCATGATCTATAATTAAAATTCTCGCTCAAATTCAAATCGGAACAAGAGGAAATGGTCCTGACACCACTATCAGAAGAGAAAGTGATTTGAGTATTCAATTTGACTCTAAACCAACTTTTATGAAATGCATAAAAGCCCTTAAATGTGGATATAGTGAAAGTAATAAGAGGGGCTTTTGAGATTCTACGTCAATCAGAAATAAAACCAACTTACAAACAATGTTTTTTTTTTTTTTGAAAAAAAAAATTGTATGATGTTTCTACATTGGTTAGTTATAAAACCGACACAAAAATACTTACACTAACTATGCCTTGTTTCAAACCAACATATATAGGTTTATTTATGGGTTAAGGTGAAAAATACTTAAAAAAAAAAATTTCTCCAGGAGTTTCTAATATCTTAAATTAACACATAGTGCAGATTTTTTTAGATATGTTTAGCATTTTAATATTTTTGAAAATTTGATTCAAAATGTCAAAGTGAAACATTGAATAGGAAATAGGATTCATATCGAAATGTGAGAAAATGGTACCCACATCGCTATCAAGGGAGAAGGTGGAAATGGGAGATTTGCTACTACCACAATGGCTCCCAATAACTTTCTGTTTATTCGAAGGCTTGAAGATGAGAAGTCTCCACATGCCCTACAATGAAATAAAAGGGTTTTTAAGCCCTGTTTGTTTTTCCCACCTTCCAATCTTTGATATACTTTCAGAAAGTGGAAAGTAATTTGGGTATCCAATTTGAATCTATGTCCACTTTGAAAAGCTTTTGGAATTCTACGTCGATAAGAAATAAAACCAACTTAGAAACATTGTCTTTCTGAAATTTTATTTTAAAAAAATTTGTATGATGCTTTTACGTCGGTTAGTTATATGACTAGCACCAAAACACTTATACTTTCTATGCTTTATTTCAAACCAACTTACTCCCTCCATCCTTATATATAAAATATTTTTTAAAAACTTATTTCATTCTTAAATATAAAGGGTAACAATAATTTTTTGAGTAATTAGACAATTTTATTCTTATCTTAAAAAATGACAATATTTTTTCTATCACTATTATGATATTAATTATGATATTATTAAAGATAAAACTAAAAAATTATTGTGTTTTTATGTGAATTTAATTAAATAACAAACTTTTATTGGTATGCAGGATTCAATTAAAAATGTTTTATATGTAGGGACAAAGAGAGTATATAAGCTTCTTTATGAGTTACTTCCTCTATATAGCTTGATTCAAAATATAGGATATTAGATAACTTTCATATTTATTTTTTTCAATTATACTTCTACTTCATTTATTACTCTTTTTCAAGAAATCATGTATTGAAATTTTAAATTACTATTATCAGTGCTCTTATATAAGATATTTAATAAGAGTATAAATGAAAAGATGTGAACATCTTTAAAAGTTTAATATTTCAACTAATATTATTCGTAAATTGTGAATTAGTTAATTATGATTTATATTATGGTTTGGAGGAAGTAATGTGCAAAAATATTCGAAAATTTTTTTTCTATGAGCTTTTGGTATTTTTAAATCAATAATGATACATGAGTGCCCATTATTTTTATAAAAGAGGTCAATCTTCCTCAATCCGTTAAAATTAGAGAAGGTTAACTTTTTTTTTATAAAGTTAATTGATACCCATACACCATTATTTACTCAAGCATATTAAAAACACTTGAAGAATTTTTTTTTTGAGTATTTTTACACATTAACCCTTTATTTATTGCAACTTAGTGATAAAAATATCACCGCTCATTTTTCACTTCGTTTTATTTTTGGGAGAATGACAAATAAGAACTTTGTAAGAATATTAATGTTAAATTAAGATTTTTCAATACTGACGTTCTCAAATTTCAATACTTATTTTACCATGTTTCGGTATTAAAATTTTTAATTTGATATTAATATTTTTACAAGATCTTTATTTATCATTCTTCCTTTGTTTTTTGCCAACCAACGTAAGATTAGCCACATGGAATGTCTTCTTTGTACTAGTGGCTACTGATTATTGGAGACTATACGATGGCGAGAGATTTAACTTGTATAAATTGTGAGAAAGGCAATAAGAACCAACTTGCAAGTTTTGGCAACCAAATGAGAAACTATCATTAGTATTCACCTCATTTGAATATCCATTACAGATGTCAAAACTCAGAACTCTATTGATACAACATCCACTGTGATTTTACACAACTTTAGACACAGAGCAGTCTCATTCATCAGTCCCTAACAGTTTCAATGGAAAGTGATAGAAACTTGGAAAGCTGTACGATCCTATATATGAACACTGGCCAGAAAATAATCCTATGAACAAAGACAACTTTCTCCATGCACTTGCATCTCTTACACAAGCTTGTAGAAACATTTGTTTCCTGAGAGAAGGATCTGGTATCCCTTACCACAAGGGCACTTGAAATTGATGCAAAGGCTCTTCTCCACCCACTCTACACTCACAGTTTCTTCTGCACCATCTTCCATTACAGAATCATCCTGCAATAAACATTTGAGTTAAACACAAAAATTTCATTATAATTGTAATTATGATTATAACATACAAAACATGCGATGGGGACAATAATGTCGGTGGAAAATGATCGTAAATGCAGGAGCATTCCCCCGCGCCGGGGGGGGGGGAGGGGGGGAAGGCATACTATTCCTCAACTAGAGTGAAATAAATGCGGTCTCAAAGGATCTCGCAGTTTGGCAAATACAACTAAACAAAGTCATTTCTATAGCTCACAAAACAAGACACTCAATGCTTGCTGTGTTATTATTTACACTCTCTTTGGTTTCTATTATAAGACATTTTTAACTATCTCACTGAAACTAAGAAGTGGTTAAATCATTAATTTTATCTAAAAATATAATAAATTTTGAACCTTATCTCTATTTAAATGAAAAGCATTACATTATTTCTCATATTTAATGAGTTTAAATAAAAGTAATATTAAAAAAATATAATTAATACCCCATCAGATGTATTATATAAAGGACCAAAAAATCCATTTAAAAGGCACCCTATAATAGAGATTGGAGTAATATATTTTTTCTTACTTTTTCATTGATTGGTCCATGTTCTTTTAAAGCCAGAATCCTGGTAATACCAGCAACTTAGTGAACCCAGACCCATAATCTGACATACTAACTTCATTAACTCCCTGCCCCTAAAGAGCGTGCTTAAGAGTAATATTTCAAAAACCAATATGATATATAATCGTTTGTGAAATAAAATACAGTTTGGACATCGCAAGACAAAATTAAAGCAGCATAATGCAACTTCTTGTCCTGATGATTGATTTTGACTACACAAGAAGGAAACCTCAATTCCCCCCCCCAAGGTTCTCTGTTGTGTGTGAGAACAGTGATGAAACAAATCTTCAGAAAAACATGACCTCTATATATGTGTATCCCTTTTTTCTTTAAATACTGACTTTTGAGTTCTTTACAAATTAGGATCGATATGAACCATAGTTCAAGTCTCTTTTAGCAGCTCTACATGAATAATAAAACATAACATGTGAAGAGTTATTAAATTCAGCAAGGCATTATTGACTCCATCAAAAATTCTTTTCAGAAGTCATTACATGGATTAAAAACTATACCAGCAACACATAAACAACTATATCATAGTTCATTTTGTCTCTTTGAAACTGTGATTCTATAAAAATCTGAGCCTCATTTTCAGTTTATCACTTTTAATCTATTTCAACTCGAGGAACCTAAAGATTTATCCCATCAACGAACCTTTGGTGCAGAGAATGTACTTAAATTCTTCTAAAGCCTGTAAACTGAACATATTAGGATGTTAGTGATCTTATGATCTGACATAATAACTTCATTGACTCTTTGCACCTGAAGAGCGCGCTTAAGAAGAATAAATTTCCAAAAGCTGGTATATTGTAAAATCATTATCGAAATAAAATACAGTTTGGAGCTTGGACAGCAAAGATAAAAGCTGCATAATGCAACTTCTTGTCCAGGTAATGGCTTTGACACAAGCATGAAACATCGATTTTTCCAAGTTTTATATTGTATTTGAGAACTGTGATAAAACAATCAGCAGCTCTACCTATAATATAACCTTTTTGGCCCTTAAATACTCACTTTAAGCTTCACAACAATTTAGGATCAATATAAGCCATAGTCTCTTCAATGATAAATACAACATGTGAATAGTTTTTAAATTCAGCAATGCACTGTTGGCTTTTGGTAAAAAATTAATTTTACATGACACTTGAAAGCCTGACTTGCTTTCCGTTGAATAACTATGGGAATGGGAAAGCTAAAAAGCACAGTTCTTATCTTTTGACCTGAGGGGAATTCTTGATTAAAAACTACGCTAGAAAAGGCATAAACAACTATATCTAAGGTTTTTCTGTTTGTCTTTTAAATCAGTATAAATACAGATATACAAAAGCCAGTATTGTGCATATACTATGATATTGTGAAGAATAATTTTTCAAAAGCCAGAGCGTTCTACAATCACTAGTCAAATGAAATACAATCTGGAGATTGGACAGCATACACAAAAACTGCGTAACGCATCTTTTATGACCTGGTGAAGAACTTTGACACAAGCATGAAACCTAAAATTTCCCAAGTTCTCTATTGGGTTTGAGAACAGTGATCAAACAGATCAAAGGAAGAGTATATATCCTCTATCATTAGTGGATTTTTCTTATACAATCACTCTCAGGTTCACAACAATTTAGGATCAATATAAGCCATTCATTTTTTTTTTCAAGTCCAACATGTGGGTAGTTTTTGAATTCAGCAATTCAATGTTGACTTCTAATAAACAATTCTCATACAAGTCATTACTTAATTAAAACCATGCTATCAAAGGCATAAACATCTATATCTAAGGTTTTATGTTGTCTTTTAAATGTATAACCAACATCAATATACGTAAATTAAAGCTGCTCAGGGCCCAAATTCTAGTCTTATAAAAAGCCTAACCTCATTCTCGCTTCATCATTTTAATCTATTCCAACTTGGGAATCTTAAGATCTTCGCCCAACTATTTAAAAAAAAAAAAAAACAAACAAAAACAAAAACTTACCTGAGAGACAGGCACAGCTTTATTGCCTTCATCAACTTGAGAGACAGACACGGCTTTATTGCCTTCATCGACTTGCTCCTCCTCCTCCTGTATAACCTCATCCCACCATTTCTTCATCTCTCTCAACCGATCTTTCATTCTTCTCATTCTCTGCAAATTCAATTTCTATCTCATTTTATTCTTAAAAGCCAAGACTCCCCATGAATTCAATTTAAAAATGAAAAAAAAAAAAATCCGCACCATTAAATTCGAATCCTCTTCCTTGCTCAAATCCATTCCCATTCCCGTATCCTCCAAACTTGACTCCTGACAGGCCGTTTTAGCGGAAGGACTAGGATCGGAAACGCACCGCTTCAGATTCGGAGGCCTTGGAGGCAAACGGGAGGCCAAGGTACTATTCTCCGGCGAAGGATTCGGAGTCACCGGAGCTCCAACGCCGGCGGCCGAAGGAGCAGTGTAAGGATCGGAAAAGCATCGGCGAAAAACAGGGGAAATAGATCTTGTTCTTGTGTTATGAATCGCAGAAGGGCTCTCCAGACTGAGAGGGAGTGGAACGGCCGAGTACCCAGGGGGCTGCGTCTGGTCTTCTTGCTCGCAAGAAGGCTTCTTGGCGCGCGAGGATTCCCATTCGGACTCCGGTGATCGACGCTTCATGGGATTGAAGCCCTGACAGCCGCAAGAAATGCACGGCGGATGGTGGATTAGGTGGCCGCATCCACCAGAGGCGACGGCGGAGGAGGGTGAAGGACATGTGTTATTAAGATGGAGCATCGAGAAGATGCTGGCGGGGTCAGAGAGATCTTCATTGGCTTGCTCGTCCGGAATCTGCAAATCAGTAGGTTCTTGAATACGAAGAGCCATGATTGATTCTACAAGAAATTCCTCGGAGATTTTCCCTCGTTTTCTGCTTAATCGTTCGACTGAGAAAATCAAATGCGAAACTGTTGAGTGAGAGCTAGCGGAGCAGTCTATATTTATACGTTCGGCAGGGGATGGGCAAGATATTTTCTGACAATTAATATTAATAATGTTTATAAAAGAGTTCATTTTATAAAAAATAATAAAAGAAAATTAATATCAGTTTTTTAAGCTTTACTTATTTTTCTATTATTATTAATATTATAAAAATATTTCTATTAATGAAAATATTTTCTTTTATTTGAAAGAAAAGCTTTTATTTGAAATGTAGAGAAGAGGGAAAAAAAATAAAAAAACTTAAGATATACTCCCTCCATTTAAAAATGTAAGATATTTTTAACCGAATCCCACCCCAATAAAGTAATTATCTACTTTTCAATTAATCTTATTTTTTTCATATTTTTTCCTATTAAACACATTACAATAAATATAAAGTCAATATTAATAGGGACATTTTTGAGAAAAAAGCAATGATTATATCTTGAAAGACTAAAAATACCTTACATTTTTAAACATCTAACTCCTCAAAAATACTTTATATTTTTAAATAGAGAGAGTATGAGTTTTTATACAATATGATTGTAATTACTAGTTAGCCAAGAGACTCATCTAATAACTTATATTTTTTTTCCAAAAAAAAAGTGTGTATTTATTTTTGAAAATTTTTTAATGTAGACCTCTTGACCATAGTTAATAAAAAAAAATGTTAGAAACTCCGAAACTTCATTGCAATCCAAGGACATTTAAATTTAAATGAAAATAAAATATTGAGAGACATGATAAAATTAACCCTCTCCACAAAATAGACTCGGACAATACAAACACAAGTTGTTCGCTTCCCTACCATCTATTATTTATCACACTACATTAAGTTGTTCATTGTTGTATTATATGTTGTTTGCCTATTACTTTTAGTTAATTTCATTCCAAATATTGTCATCATGCTAACATTAGTTGTTCGTTTCTATACATACTGTTGTTCATTACTTTACATTAAGTTATTCATTGCCCTATTGTCTATTGTTTATCCATTACTTGAAGTTAATTTCATTCTAAGTGTTGTCATCATGCTAATGTTAGATGCTCATTTCTTTACAGATTGTTATTCATTATCCTATATTAAGTTGTTCATTACCTTATTATTTATTATCTATCCATTACAAATGTAAAGCAAGGAAAAAATTGATTATTAACTTAAAGTAATGGACAAACAACAAACAATAAGGCAATGAATAATATAATGTGGGGTAATGAATAACAATATGTATGGAAATGAATAACTTAAAGTAATAGACAAACAACTATCTTTTAATAAGAACGATCAGGTAATTTCTCTTAGCATTTTAATTTCACTGTAGTATCCTTAAACTACAATATCCTTAAACTGCAATGAAATTTTAGAGTTTTTGGAATTCTATTTTTTTTATTAATGATGGTCAATGGGGGCTTTATTGAAATTTTTCCTACCTTGCAAAACACTTTGACTCAGTTCCCTCAAAAAACTTGAATGCCCCCCTTGATTCCATTAATACGCAATTTCTGGGGAGACAATTTTATTTTCCTCTCCCCCTTGTATTATAGTCAAATAAAAGGAGAAGAGCTCCTCGAATGCCCCTTGGTTCCATTAATACGCAATTTCTGGGGAGACAATTTTATTTTCCTCTCCCCCTTGTATTATAGTCAAATAAAAGGAGAAGAGCTCCTCGAATGCCCCTTGGTTCCATTAATACGCAATTTCTGGGGAGACAATTTTATTTTCCTCTCCCCCTTATATTATTGTCAAATAAAAGGAGAAGAGCTCCTCCCCTCCATTTTTCCATCCAAACAAGGCGATGAGAAAGTTCAATAAATTTTTTCATCCATTCCCCTCCCATCCAACCAAGTATAATGTAAATTAGTAAAATTTATGGGCTTCAATGAAAGCTTATTGAAAGTGACAATCCAATTCTACGTAATTTGATCTCTAATTTTTTAATAGTATTGGAAAGAGGAAGCCTATGGGGAAAAAAAACTTATTTTAAATGAGTGCAAGAGCATTGAGGGAGTTAAAATGAGTATTTATTTTGAATTAACACATACTTATTTTTTCATGGCTCGTGAAAAGAACCAAAGACCCCTTCCTTGAGTGCTCACTGTTTAGAAAAGTAAACACAGCACACTGGTTACGATGGAGAAATCTTAACCACTTATTATAATATAATCTTATTCGATTTATAAATTGAATTTTAGGTATTTATAAGTATAAATGAGTAAATTATCCCTTGAAATTTATATCTAGTACCACCATAGACTTTAAACTTATTTATTGTATAAATTATTTCTTTAACTTTTGAAAACGGTACAATTTGGCTCCTATTATTAATAAAAGTTAACTTTGACCATTAATTGACCAGAAAATAAAAAACAAATATAAAAATTACAGAAAAGGACCAAATTCTTTTTGTTCATTTTTATATTTTTTGGGTCATTATTTGTAATTTTATGGTCATTGTTTATAATTCTCGAGGTAATTTATTTTATTTTTTGGTTAACTAACTGTTGAAGTTAACTTCTGTTAATAACAGGGGCTAGATTGCATAGTTTTTAAAAGTTAAGAGAATAATTTGCACAACAAATAAGTTTAAAGTTTATGATGCTATTGGGCTTAAAATTTAGGGAATAATTTGCTCATTTGTCCTATTTTCAATTTCAAATTTCTCTCTCCCTCCAAATCAGAAGTGTTCGTGTTGCGTCAAAGAGTTGTGTCAATCTTCCACCAATTACAAAGTCTAAAGGGGTAAAAAAAGGTCTAAGCACCGGTAGAGACTCGACCAAAAAGGTCCAAGCCATGCTTATCTGAACAAGTAGAAGATGAAAAGTGCTGGCTGTATAACTCGCATTAAGGTATCATGGAACTAGTTTGAAAACCAATTCATTTACAAAGGTTTAAGCATTGGTAAATGTTAAGAGAGGTTTAAGAACCAACAATCCATGCCATCATTTAACCACTACTAATATAGTTTTCACAAAGCCTAAAGAAGTTTGTGGAAGAGTTTGATCATCATTTACTAGTAATTTGCTATTGTTGTAGTTTGAAAAGGTTGGATGAATATGGCTTGCTTAAAGGTTTGGTTTTGAGTAATATTTTCTTTATACTCTTCATATTAATATGCCACTCTAATGCTATGGGCTGATATATATTGCTTTGTGGCAAATTGTTGGGTTTCAAGTTTTTTAAATATCCATGACTACTTTATTTTTTTGGTGTCAAAAGCTAACTACTAGTAGGAATAAACTCAGTTAGCAAGTGATTGTTTTCAACAAGAAATTCAAAAGCATACTTGATGGTGAGTGCAAAATCACCAAGTCCATAGCTAGATCACAAGCTTTATTTTGCAAGAGCATTAGCTGCCATATTGACTTCATGATCACATAGATGAATAGCTACTTTTCCCAGTTTCAATCTCAATCAAGTAAGTCTCTAATCTTAGCCAGCATCGTAGCGTCCCAATATACTACCATATGCAAATCCTAAATCACATATACAACTTCCCTACAATCACTCTCCACAATAATGTTACTCATTCCTTACTCCCCAGACAGCTTCAAAGCCTAAAGAACCCCCTAAACTTTAACAAAAAACAAAAATCCATCCCTTAATTTATACATAAAGCTACAAACAAATTGCCCATGGTGATTTTGAACAAGCCCTCTATACGCCCAAGTACTAGACCTAGGACAAAATGGCCCAATGAGGTTAAATTTCACTTACCCCTCATTCGGTGGTGTCTATCTTATCTTCCCACTTGTCTAGCATTTGGTTTAATGAAATTCAGTTTACTCCAACATAAACATGCACAAGCTCTATCTATGACCTCCTTACTTTTAGCTTGGTTCCCTTTAAATATCTTATCATTATGGGCCAAACAGAAATTCTAATAAAGCATAGTAAATAAAAGCCTCTATTCATAAGCTTCAACAACCTTCGAACACTATATAGTCCACTTTGCCTATGCCATTACATTATCAAGACTAAAAAGTCTTCGCTGCTACTCATGTAAGACTACCAACAATCAAATCTGTCAAGCTTGAAGATAATCATATAGTGCATGCAAATTTGATTTCAAGCTACTATTACACATACCATACATTCTAGATCCATGCACAGCTCTTCTCATTCAAGCATTATTAGTTAAAAGTTTATTATTCATGTACAGAGCTATAAATGAACTCTACCTCTTTGAGGGACCTTTAGCTTTAAAGGTGTCTCTAAAAGCTACCATTCCTTAAGCCCCTATTAACCTTCTGGTATAGGTAAGTTGATTTGAGTGAGAATCTACCATCGAGGGTGTATTACCATAGCTGAGTATCTATCTAGCAGTCATAACTATGAATATTTACCCAAACTATGGTATCCAAATCCATGGTGGTAGGAATTGGCTAAACTTTGACCAATCCTAACATCCATTTAGTGTGACATAATCTGCCACCTTTTGTAACATCCTAAAAATTAATCAGGATTAAGTTAAGTAAAAATAGAATAATTGATTTAAATAATGGTATATGGCCAAGGAGGTTTAATTAGTGTGTTTAGTTGCTATTTCAGCCTTAAATACAGGTTCGAGGTGAAGTCGGGTTACCCGGGTATCAAAATATGAGAAACGCTAAAGTGGGAGCCTTTATGCCATATGCTGCAGTGTGTAGCACATCCGCTACAGCACACAAAAGGGCAAGTAATAAAGGACAAGCCTCTTTATGCCATGCACCACGATAACTAGTACGTTCGTTGCGGCACATAGTCAATTTTTTTTGATAAGTAGCTCATGAATAGATTGAAATTAGAAGAGGAAAAGGAGGAAGAAAATGGGAGCACATACTCAGTTAGGGCATAAATTTTGAGATCATTAGAGATATTTTGGAGGCTCTTAACATTAAAAGTGAGTCCCTTATGCTCTCTACTTCTATTCTACTTCTATTTTCTATAGATTGAAGTTAGGGTTTAAATGATGAAAGTGATTTTTTAGTCCATATGAGT